GCCAGGAAAGCGTACGGAGTCCTGGCAAGAATCAGCGCGCTCATGGTGGACATAGGCGGAATGAAAATGGAGATCGGGATCGCACTCTACAAGGCATGCGTCACACCTCATCTGGAATACGCGTACCCTATCTGGTGTTGCGCGTCCGAGGCACAACTCCGGAAAATTCACAGAGTGCAACGCATAGCCCTACTGAGAGCCTCTAGCACCATCAACTCAACACCAGCGTCCGCTTTCAGGAAATCTTGGCTCACAAATTTATACGCATCCTGAGGAAGCCCCACGACAACCCTCTCTGCTGCATGGTACTACCAAACCTGGATAACCAAGTCCTCATGGATCACCGAACCCTAACCCCTTTACACCACATCAGAATGGCTGTCAACTCCCTAGGCAGGAACTTCTCACCGGAACGGGTAGACCACGAACCACAATATAGCTTAGGCACGCTTAATGCGACAATGGTAAACCAGGGTTAAAAACACATGATACACACTCGGTAACGGAAAGAACAGATCAACCACCCAAGCTGAAAAGGCAAGGAAAATCACGGAGGAACAGCTGAAGGAGACTGAGGAAAATACCATAATCGCCTTCACTGACGGATCAGCACTCGGGAATCCTGGACCCTGTGGGGCGGCAGCCATCGTCTACGCAAATGGCATCAGCAGCCAAGCCATCGCCATCCGAAAGGCAGTCTCGTGTAAAAGCAGCAGCTATCACGGAGAACTTCACGCAATATTCCTCGCAATGGACTTCGCAATCAACTACTCTGCACCTCCCACCATATCAAAACTCAGAATCTTCTCGGACTGCCAAAGCGCCATTCTCACTGTCACGGCCCCCCAACAAAACAACAATTTCACAACACTTACCTCGATAATCCAAGAAAGAGTTAAGCAGCTATACACAAATAACATCTAGATCGACATTTGCTGGGTAGCAGGACATGCAGGCCTGGCCGCAAACGAACTCGCAGACGAAGGAGCGAAACGGACAGCCCCTGAGGCCGCAGAAATGGTTGAATCTGAAGACCACTCTCCGCTTTCCTTCTCCGAAGCCAAAGGAGAAATCAAGAAAGCCTTGGTAGAGCGATGGCAGGGTTCCCAGATAAACCCGCACCCTCACATTACCAAAGCGGAGTTATAACGTCTGCATTTGCGGACTATTAAATATATAGCAGGTAGGAAAGCGTGCTGCCGAAATTCGCTTGACGCTTGCTTGATTTCACACTAATACAACACAAATGTTCAACCATATTCTACTCCATCTTTGTATCTATTTCAAGAACAGTGTTCACTTGTTATAAAAACATACTGTCTCTGTTCGATAACGGAGCTGTGTCACGCGAAATTCACACAAGACTGAACGAAATTCTCACGCTTCTAGCTAGGATACGTTGGGATGGTTTGCTATCCCCCGGGGCGTGGCCGGGACGGTCACGTGCATACAGTTGACGTATACTTCAAAATCATTAGCTCATCTGTAACGCTAACGTCCTAACACCTCCAACGCTAACCTAACACTACATATAGTATATTATCGCCGATTCGCCCTTTATATAGCGTGGGTGTGATCCACAAAATTATATCTATTTGGTGTGGAGGACAGATATCATGATGCCAAAAACGTCTTAACCCTAACCCTATATCCTATATCCTAACCTAACTAATACTAAATATAATAACTATTAACTCCTAATACTAGTGCTGACACGTTTCACCTGTCGCG